GGTTGATCACTGGGGAGAAACTAGCCATTTGTTAGAGGAAGTGTCTTACAGGATGAGGACTGCAGCTGATAAATTTTTTCTGGTTCAGCAGAGCATAGATTTCATCAGGCTATATTTACCAAAGTTCCCTAAAACCTGTCCCTGCTGCTGGGCACAGTGGCGTACGCCTGTAATCCCAGCACTTTGGGAGGCTGAGGTGGGCGGATCATGAGGTCAGGAGTTCGAGACCAGCCTAATATAGCGAAACCCCGTTTCTACTAAAAATACAAACAAGGCGTGGTGGCATGCGCCTGTAATCCCAGCTACTCAGGAGGCTGAGGCAGGAGAATCGCTTGACCCTGGGAGGCGGAGGTTGCAGTGAGCCGAGATTGTGCCACTGCACTCCAGCTTGGGTGACAGAGTAAGACTCCATCTCAAAAACAAACAAAAAACCTATCCTAGCCTGAACTCGGTGGCTCACGCCTGTAATCCCAGCACTTTGGGAGGCCAAGGCGGGCAGATCATGAGATCAAGAGATCGAGACCATCCTGGCCAACATGGTGAAACCCCATCTCTACTAAAAATACAAAAATTAGCTGGATGTGGTGGCGTGCGCCTGTAGTCCCAGCTACTTGGGAGGCTGAGGCAGGAGAATTGCTTGAACCCAGGAGGCGGAGGTTGCAGTGAGCCGAGATGGTGCCACTGCACTCCAGCCTGGCGCCTGGTGACAGAGCAAGACTCTGTCTCAAAACAAAACAAAACAACAAAAAAACCTGTCCTGTCCCTGCCCAGCCTCTATCCCTTAAATTTTTACACTTCCTTTTCTCTACTTCCCTAGGGCTAGCAGTATCTCAACTGCTTCATTCAGTTTGCAGAACTATTTAAGAAACAATATTCTGTCTCCTATATCCTCCATATTCCCAGAGGTGAGCAGGTAGAAAAGGGAAACAAGGAACTTGGAAGAATTATGAGTGATCTGCTCACTAACGGATGAAGCAGAACTATAGCAGGAACATGGATGAACCTCCTTAGAGAGACACCTCTCTATAAACTGAAATTTGCCAAGCACTGGAGCAGGCGAGGAGATTCCTAAGGATGGGAGAATGGAGAGGATGACCTATGGAGGTTCCTTTCCAAACTTCTCTCTTCCTCACCTCATCCAGATCATCAGAAATTATATGGGGGATAAAACTTCATCCTCAGGAAGGTCTTGTCCCAGCTGGGGCCCAGGAGCCACAGGATCACCAGCTGCAATGCAGTTACCAACACAAGTAAACAGGGTGGGTCCCCACCCACTGACAATCCTGCTGCCCAGGTGCCACCTGGTGGTGATAAGCAGTAAGTGGACAACAGGAAGGGATGGCCATTTGTAGAGGAAATGTTTGGCCAACTGTTAGAGGATGAGGCCTATAGGAGAAGAGAGAATACTTAAACTTCCTGGACTTGCAATCTGCATTTATATGTAAACTACAAACACCTTCCAGAAGCAGAGGATCAGATATGGTACTCTGATCTCAGCTCACAAAGATGGGAAAGGCAACAGGATTTGAGGAAATTCCTCTGTATTCTTTAGTCCTCAAAAGTTACTGCCAAACCAGGCATGGTGGCTCATGCTTGTAATCCAAGGCATGATTTGAAGCAGACGGGTCACCTGAGGTCAGGGGTTCAAGATCAGCCTGGCCAACATGGCGAAACCCCATCTCTACTAAAAATACAAAAATTAGCTGGGCGTGGTGGCAGGCCTGTAATTCCAACTACTCTACTTAGGAGGCTGAAGCAGGAGAATCACTTGAATCCAAGAGTCAGAGATTGCAGTGAGCTGAGATCACACCACTGCACTCTTGCCTGGGAAACAGAGTGATACTCCGTCTCAAAAAAAAAAAAAAAAAAGTAATGATCTTTACTGCCAAGTAATGATCCCTTTGTTGGATGGCTATATCATTAGAACTTTCTTTTTTTTTCTTTTTTTTTTTTTTTGAGTTTCGCTCTTGTTACCCAGGCTGGAGTGCAATGGTGCAATCTCGGCTCATCGCAACCTCCGCCTCCTGGGTTCAGGCAATTCTCCTGCCTCAGCCTCCTGAGTAGCTGGGATTACAGGCACATGCCACCATGCCCAGCTAATTTTTTGTATTTTTAGTAGAGACGGGGTTTCACTATGTTGACCGGGATGGTCTTGATCTTTTTTTTTTTTTTTTTTTTTGAGACGGAGTTTCGCTCTTGTTACCCAGGCTGGAGTGCAATGGCGTGATCTCGGCTCACCGCAACCTCCGCCTCCTGGGTTCAGGCAATTCTCCTGCCTCAGCCTCCTGAGTAGCTGGGATTACAGGCACGCGCCACCACGCCCAGCTAATTTTTTGTATTTTTAGTAGAGACGGGGTTTCACCATGTTGACCAGGATGGTCTCGATCTCTTGACCTCGTGATCACCCGCCTCGGCCTCCCAAAGTGCTGGGATTACAGGCTTGAGCCACCGCGCCCGGCCTGGTCTCGATCTCTTGACCTCGTGATCCACCCGCCTCAGCCTCCCAAAGTGCTGGGATTACAGGCTTGAGCCACCGCGCCCAGCCAGAACTTTCTTATGTCAGTCTGGAGTCAGACTGTCTGAATAGATTGATTCCTGGTCCCATTCCTTACTTGCAGAACCCTGGGAAGGTTACTTTTTAAGCCTACTTTCTCCTCTGTAAAATGGGTACAATAATAGTACCCACTCTGTCAATGAGATATTGCATGTCAAGTGCCTAGTACAGAGCCTTGGCTTATATTAAGCAATCAACAAATGTTAAGCCATTATTCTAGAACTCCCTTTTTATTTCCTGTGTAGCAAACAGGACCTTCCTCCATTAGGCAGCCCTTCAAAGATCTGAAGACTTCTATTTTAAGTTTTATCTTTTTTTTTTTTTTTTTTTTTTTGAGACGGAGTTTCGCTCTTGCTACCCAGGCTGGAGTGCAATGGCGCGATCTCGGCTCACCGCAACCTCCGCCTCCCGGGTTCAGGCAATTCTCCTGCCTCAGCCTCCAGCTGGGATTACAGGCACGTGCCACCATGCCCAGCTAATTTTTTTGTATTTTTTTTTTAGTAGAGACGGGGTTTCACCATGTTGACCAGGATGGTCTCGATCTCTCGACCTCGTGATCCACCCGCCTCGGCCTCCCAAAGTGCTGGGATTACAGGCTTGAGCCACCGCGCCCGGCCTATTTTAAGTTTTATCTTGCCAACCTTTTCTTGTTTCCGGTAAACCCCACTGGTTTGTCAATGGCCCTCTTTAAAAATTACATTTAGAAAGAACACGCTACTAAGTAGTTACACTTAGGCAGAACACAGAACTGCTGTATTTATAATCCATGACCAAGGTTCTACTACCCTTGTGGAGCTCCTAGAAAGATGCCTAGAACATTGCAGGCTCTTAATATTTATAAATTGACATATTGAGGGCTAAGATTCTAATTTCTTGTAGCCAACTGGAAGTCCCAAGTTATTCTCATGTGAATTATTGCTAATATAGATCTCTAACACTGTTCTTCAGACAAGCTCAAGACCTAAACAATATTTTAGTGGGAGAGTGCTCCAGTGTTTTAGTCAATCGAAGTCACAGACATTTTGAATATAATTTAGCTCTTCCTGTGTTGCTGTTGATAAATGGGCTTTTTATATGTTTACCCAAGTTGGGTTTTTTCTTTTTATAATAAAATACAACACTTGGGCACATCACTAGAGAACAGAAATTTCTCTAACATAAAGGCACTAACCAACACTAAGTACAAGTGTTCAGTTAGATTCCACCAAATGCTACTATTTTTTTTCTTATTTTTTAACCAGAGCCATTTGAATGGAAAAACTGCTACTATTAACTGACCCATAATTTTCTTCTTATCTGTGATGACTTAGCAGGTGAGAGAGAGGAAAGCAGCTCCTGTAATCTGGGAACTGGTCTGACACAGCCAGGCTTCAGAGCTGTTAGGGCTGACCTGGTGCTCACAGGTAGCCAATGTGTTCTCTTAGACACAAACAATCTCACAAAACACCAGCATCGGACAAGGTCACTCAGTGACTGTGATGAAGTGAGACAAAAAACAAAATCACTTCACAATTTTGTTTAAGCACAAAACAAGGTCTGTGTGCAAATCACAAAACGGCAAACATCCCCTTTCCCAGCTAGTGACTTCATCATCAATTGCAGCTTAGGTTCACTTGTCTGCCCTTCTTCTAGACAAGCTACTCAATCACAGAATTATCCTTGCTTCCCTTAACAGCACCCAATCCAAAAGAACACCCATTTTCTTGAATCTTCCCCCAAATCAATTACCCAAAGTCTAAGTCCTCTGAGTCCTTCCTAATACCCTCTTGCTGAGACACACCACGAATTCCCAATGGTGTGCCCTCTCCCTCACTGCAATGAACATTAAACCAAACTTGTTCAATTACCAGGTGTATTCTTGGTGGTCTTTAGCTGGAATAAATACATATAAGACACACAATGTCTAAAGTTTCCCAATCTACCTCTTTGGAGATAACCTGGCAAGGAGGAAATAAAGTCAGTCATGATTTGACTGAGAATCCACATTGGTATCTATGGTTACATTCTTCTTTAAATGCTTGTAAGCCATCTCTTTTAATAGTCTAGAATTGCCGGGTACAGCGGTTCACGCCTATAATCCCAGCACTTTGGGAGCCCGACGTGGGCAGATCACGATGTCAGGAGTTTGAGACCAGCCTGGCCAACAGAGTGAAACCTCATCACTACTAAAAATATAGAAAATTAGGGCATGGTAGCAGGCACCTGTAATGCCAGCTACTCAGGAGGCTGAAGCAGGACAATCACTTGAACCCAGGAGGCAGAGATTGCAGTGAGCCAAGATTGGCGCCACTGCACACCAGCCTGGGCAACAGTGCGAGACTCCCTCTCAAAAAGAAAAAGTCTAGAGTTGTGCCAGATGTGCACTTAAAAATCTGTTAAGAAAAAATTGTGCCCAAAACAACATTAAACTTATCAATGTGTTGTTTCTAAAACCCACAATGTTTGCTTTTAGTCATTAGGCTTTTTTTTTTAATGACTACCCTTGACCTAGCCCACCATCTCCAACCCCACGTGTGACCTGAGTGATCAACCAGACAAGAGAGCAAGAGGTAGGAGATACGATGAGGGGGAACACAATCCAGGATCACTCTCTACCCCCAAATCTACTGTCCCATTAGACTAGACACCTGAGTTGTTTTCCCTACATCAGCTGTGAGCTGAGAAGGAACTGAGGTTTGGCTGTTGGGGCCCCTGGCCTTACTAAGTAGATTTAAAACATCTGGTCCTATGTGGAGACAGAGGAAAGGGATAAACCCTGAGGCTTGTGTCCCTAGGACTCCCGTTTCCCAGACCTCCCAAGCCTTAAAGGCTTAAGGAACTGGCCACTGAGGAAGGGCTGGGATAGGAGGGACATTAACTGCCATCAACTCAGAGGCAACTTCCACCTGTCCTACTCTGTTTGAATAAGGATCTTTCAACTATGTAACATCCCATCCCCATTTTTCAGCACATACACCCTCCTTACTGCCTGCCCCACTAAATGACCCTAGGAGCCCTGGTTACTAAGGCAACCTGGGAATAGCACATACAGAGACGAGAAACAGATGGGACTATTTTTAAACTAGACTAGGTGGCTCCAAAGCTTCTACCCCAAAAAGTGCCTTCCCCAAAGCCCCATCTGGTCTTGTTCTGGGTCCCTACCCTTCTTCATTGGCCTCTATCCATCTTACCCAAGCTATGTGAGGCTGGGGTCTTTATCCCATTTTGACATGAGATCTACTTACTGCTCCCATTTTCCACACAGAATATCTAAGCAAGTTTTCACTGCCTCCATTTGTTAAAAATAATTGTTCTTTTATTTCTTTGGAAAGTAGTGGGCCCTGCCCTATGGATTTTCAGGCCAAGCTAGGGTAATGAATGCTCCCCTAGTCTTTGGGCTGGAGCACTATGGTCCCAGCATTCCCAGGGCCCAGAAGCAATTCCTGTATTGTCCAACCCAACCAACTAGGACCCAAATTGTCTGAAGGCTCCTATCAGGCCTTCTCTCCTGACCACCCACTTCTCAATCTTTCCTGGCTTTCCCTCTGGGCAGGGTATTTTTTTCTTCCAAAACCAGTGCTGGAAACTGTGCTGTGTAGAAGAGAGGACAAGACGAGGGATGTTCCCAAATTCCCATAAGAGGACACAGGCCCTCAGTCAGTCCTTCCTCTCTGCTGGCTTCAGTCTGCACTCCTCTGCAAGCCCCCACTGTGAGGCTTGAAGATGGACAAGAGGACCCTCATAAAAGGGAGGTGAGAGAAAACACACCAACCCAGCCCCTCCTCAGGACTACTCCTTGTAGTCTCTTGTCCTAGTTCTCAAGGGAGCCCTTCGGACAGGGCTGGGGAGGGCTAGGAGAGTGGGCAAGGGCTCCTCAACCCCAGCCACAGGAGGCTATACCAGGGGAGTGTCCATTAGCCCCATCAGTGTGGCATGGCTGTGATGCGCATGCTCTGGGAAGCAATAGGGTAAGTCACCATGGGAGTGGTGGTGTGGCTCATTGTGATTCCTGCCAAGGGTTGGGCCATCGATACAGCCACAGGGGCCACAGGAGCCACAGATACAGCCACAGGAGCCATGGAGACAGGTGGGGGTGCCATTCCCTGGGCAATTGTTTGAGCCAGGGCAGCTGACAGTGGTGTGATCTCTGGGTTCAAGTGTGGGGGTGGGGGTGGTGGAGCAGCAGGAGGTGCAGCGTTAGTTGGGGGAGCAGCTGGAGCTCCAGCAGGGGCCACCAGTTCTTGCTGGGACACTGGACGAGGCTGTAGAGCCTGGCTGCTGAGAGTCGTGTGAGTCTGGGCAATGCCATGGTTAAAAGTGGCGACAGTGCCCACAGTGGGGGCCAGAGTCTGCTCAGTCGCTGGTGCAGTGGAGCTCAGGGTTATGACCTTAGCCTGATTGCGGAACTGAGCATTTTGTTCCAGTAATACCTCATTGGTGGCCAGCAGGTTACTGACCTGCTTCTTTAGTTCCTCTACCCGCTTCCTGAGCATGGCATTCTCCTCCTCTAGCAGTCTGCACTCTACCCCTCGCGGCGGAGCCAAGCTATATTCATATGACTCAAAATGAGGACCATCAGGGGGGCAGCATCCACCTCGCCGGCGTTTTGGGCCTGGCTCATGGTCCTCAAAGCCCCTGTCAGGAAGGTCATAGATATCATAGAGATCATGACGTCGTCCTGGGGGGACTGAGCCTGTTGATCCCCCACCAGTGCCTCCGCCACCCCGAGCATCAAACTCAAAATCCCGTTGCAGGTGACGGAACTTGCACTTAGCTCCTCTCTGACAGTCCCCCTTGAGAAAGTCACGGCAGATAGGGACCTCCTCCTTGCCATTTGGTAAGTCAGCCGGAGAAAGGCCAAGGCCAGCTGCTACTTTCTGCCTCAGCCGTGGGGGAAGCTCTCCTGTCTTCTTGTAGCCATCCTCATCCTCCTTGGAGCCATGGATGAAACGGCAGTTTGGGCGGCTACACTCCTTGTTCTGGAAGTCATGGCAGAAGATGAACTCATTTTTGCTCACCCCCAAGTTGGACACCTCGCTCATGTCTGGGTGGCGATATCGGCAACGCTTGCCTCGCTTGCACACATTCCTCAAGAAGTCTCTACAGATGGCATCTGAGCTGGCCACGCCACTGCCTGCTCCTGCCCCACTGGCCTCCTCGCTGCCACCACCTCCAGGGCCTCCACCGCTGCTCCCAGTGCCGTTGGCATAGCTGTCCCGATCAGGCATCCTGGTCCCGCCCAACTCAGGGTTTTCTTTATCTTGCCACTCTTGGTGACCACTGAAAAAGAGGAAAACGGTATCAACAAGAGTCCTCCAGGGAGATCCCACTCTTCCTGACTACAGAGCAGGCAGCCCAGAGGGGCAATGGCTTCAGAGATGGAGAATCTAAGGGATAAGAATTCTGGCTGAAATGTCTGACTCATCAAAAGTCCCGCCCAGGCTTTTGCGCACCTGGTCTGGGTCAGAATGATTCACACTTGCCTGGCTGACGGAGGAGGGAAGGAGTTGGGGTGAAGCCACCTCATTTCACTAATGATGATAGGCCAAAGAGAGCAGAGAAAAAATAGTGTTGGATTTTATGTTTCCATCTGAGCTGACCTTATTAAAGTTGTAGAAGTGAAATTAAAACTGTGGTTGATATCTGAATAGTCTGGGAACTGGGAATAGTGCCCAGGATGGGCTGCTGAGCTACTAGGGTTGTATAAGATGGGACACTGGTAACAAAACTTCCTTAACCCCTTTTCCTTTTCTTCAGGTAAGAGCTCTGTACATATCAAATCTCTGGAAGCCACAAAATCCTGAGTGAAGAGACTGGTGTCACCAGCTTGAGGGCAGTCTCGAAACCTGCCATATTTTAATATTCCCTCCCAGGCATCATCTCTATCAACCCCAGACAGGTCAGCCCCCTCCATTTCAGGGTAGGAGTTCTAAGTTAGAATCTCCACTTCTAGACCTCCCAGGACAAACCATTTGTGGTAAGGTCACGGTGGGAAGGAGTTAATTTCACAGGAACAAGTGACCTTTCCCCACGCCCCACCCCCTTCCTACTCCCCTATGTGAAGATCCCACTGACATCCAACCACACCATTCCTCACCCCATAAAGATCCTCTTTATTTATAGACTCTATAAAAGCTTTTTAAGTCTCCTATTTCCCAAGAGAGCTTTGGAATGTCAGTCCACTGCCCTGATTCTAGCCCTCCCCGCTCTCTACCCCTAGTAAGACCTGGAGTCCCTGCTACCACGTGTCTGACCTCCCAAGCCTTTCCTATACGGTATTCAGGCTCCCCCTGCTGCTGAAATAGGAAAACTTCATATTGTTCCCTTTGATCATAAGAGAATCTTTCCTGATTACTTTGGCCTTGACCTACCCCCACCCCACTGCTGTGACTTTGCCTTCAGCTCTCCCTAAAATGAACTAACCAAACCAGAGGCCAGAGTTACATGAGAATCTATTAAAGGGTCCTCTTCCTCTAAAGGGAAGTAGTCCCAGAATAATAGAAGCAATCAAGGAAAGAAGTGATAAAAGAAGATACAAACTTTTAGCAAAGGGGAATGACCAGGTGAAGTACAAATGGCATCTATCCAAGCCTGGCTCACGTTGCAAGTCGCACCAGCAGCAGATAATTAGATATGAAGCTCCTCCCCACCCAACTGTCCCAGAATTGATACCTGAGGTAGCTCAGGTGAAGTCCGGGGCTCCTGTGGGTCTCCACCTCCACATCACTGCTGGGTTCTGGGCAGGAAAAAAACAGAGACTTGGGTGGGAGAAGGAGTAAGAGTGGAGGCGGCTGTCCTCCACTCTATGGGGTGGTTGTTACAAGAAGGAAATCTGACAAAACGGCAAAGCTTTGGAAACGTTAGGATTTCCTTAGGGTTCAAACTGAAGTTCACCACTTGTCCAAGGGAGAAGTGGCCAGTAAGCAGAGTAAAAGATAAAACTAATTCGGAAGGGCTGGGAGGATGGGTTGGAAAACCAGCCCTGAGTGAACAAAGGGTGTGGGGCGCCCTGCCTCAAGATGAAAGAGGATGTGAGGGTCAGAGCGCGGCCAAAGGTTGGAGTTAGTAATGCCAAGTGAGGAATCTTAAAAGGGCAGCGCCTGACAGTGCAGTGGAATGGCCGATTAGACTTGGGGGCAGTGATTGTGACGCTTCCCAACACCCTAGACTTTGCGAAAAAAGTCCTAGGAGTTTTCCCGCAGCAAGTCTTCTAGCTTGGCAGTTTCTGTGCAGTGCCGCCGGCACTCAGCCGTGGACTACGTGAATGGGACACTAAGGAAGCGCGAAGTGAAGCGGTGAGATGGGGCTCCAGGTGTCATCAAGCTGAGGGGATGGGCAGGGCTGTGACGTCACGAAGCTGGCGTTTGCTCGCGATGCGGGGTCAGTCAGAAAAGGGGCACTGCCCTGGGGTGTGAGGACGAGCCAGCTCGATTCTGGGGGGCCTTCTGCGGCCCGGCCGAGCCCAGCAGCGGGGCTGGCCCGACTCCTCCCCTCCGGGCGCGGCCTCCACCTAAGTCTCCCGCCTCCCTCACCTGCCGCCGCCGCCGTAGTTGCTGCTGCCGCCTGCCGGTCCTCTAGCTTCGACAAAGAGCCGCCCACCCAAACGCTCTTCCGCTTCCTGCGGAAGAAGTGACGCTCTAGCCACCAGACCCGGAACCATACTCTATGGTGTACGAAGCGGGCGTGCGACATATCGCAGGAAGCTCCCAGCACGCTTTGCGTGTCACCATGGCAACCCAACCCAAAAGCACGACAAGTTTAGAAAGTGGTAGTCCGTCTGGCAGACTTACTGAAAAGTAGGGGCGGTTACCACCAACAGCGCCTAATAACTCACGTAACCTAAAACCTGCCTCCATGGGCATACCATACCCTATCCAACTCCAGCCAGGTGCAAACCACACCACATAACCCAGGCTGTTGCCTTTATATCCCTCATAGCACAGGTAGGACAGGGCAAACTGTACTGATAGAAAACCCCCACCCGATGAAACCATAAAAAACACGTAATAGACGAGACGATTTAATTCTTCAGCTAAGACAGCGGAAGAGGTGATTTATTTTATGGTTGTTACACTCGGCCACAAGTAAACACAGAAATAGTCCAGAATGTCACAGGTCCAGGGCAAAGGACCAACATGGGCAGTTTTGGTTATGAGCAAGGTGGGTCTCAGAGGTGATCGACGATCAGATGGCGATGAAGTTCTAGATCCATTGAGACAAGCTCTAGACAGTAGCATGCAGTCCCACAACTTGTACCAGCATCCCCAGCGTCTGGCATTCCATGTTTCTGCTCCTGTGGCCTCCACGGTGCAACAAACTAGCGGTTTACTTGGACCTCTGCCTCATCTTTCTTCTTTTGCGCTTCAGCCTGAAAAGCAGACACAGGAATGGAATACGCTTCCTATTCTTAAACCAGAGTTGTCTTCCCCTCCCACATGAAATCAAACGTGCATAGAATGCATGAGGTGGTAAAATGAACAAGCACTATGATTCTATCGTCCTCTGTTTTGTTCAATCCTTGGCTCTAGGAAGAAAATACTCAAACGTCTTTTTCCTAAAGCTGCTTTAAGATTTCCAAACCAAATATTTATCGTAAGTTTTGTCCAAGGAACAGTCCCCCTTCCCTCCTCCTGGACTGGCAGTCTCAACATACCTGCGCATTCGTTTCTTCCTCCACTAGCAACCGATCACAAACAACAAAGAATTTAAAAAAAAAAGAGAGATTAATCTTAATGAGCTTAGGAGGGATATAAAAATGCACTCTTTAGAACCCGACAGATTCTTAACCAAGAAGTATGAAGCATTGATCATAGCAACTATACCAGTAACTTGGACACCCTCTTAACGTAAAATCCAATTTCTACCTTTTTCTACTCCCACTCTTTACCCACAGCACTTAGCCGCTAGCCTCTCAGCTTCTCTCACTAACTTTCCTCTCCCATCAACTCTTGGGCACCCCTGAAACCCAGTAGTTCAGGAGCTATGGCGGACTTGCCTTGCCTTAGTCTCCTACTACTACTCGCCAACTCCTACTTTCCAAGCTTACTATCAGGAACCGCTCACCTTGGCTCTCATGGCGCAGAGGTTTCTACGGAGAAAAAAAGAAAAGCTACAGTTAGTTTGCTGTGATGATGGTAAGTGCAGAGGTCAGATGTCAATGGATTGTACGTGGAATCCGAACACAGAAACCAAAAACACTCACCCAAAAAAAATGGCGCTAAGGCCGAGAGAAAGCCGAACTTCCGTCTACAGCTATTTAATAGCGCGCCGGGTGTCGTCACTTCCGTTTTCCCGCCCTTTCCCCCCCACAGGGCGGAGCTACCCAATAGGCGTAACAATGGGTTTCGGCGCGTCTTAGCGACGGAGTGGTTGAGTTAGGTGTTCTCCGGTAGACCGACAATTTGGTTTTGGAGTTACCAGTTCCCCACCCCCCCCAGATTTAGTACGAGGACACTGTGTTATTTAAACGTCAGCACCTATGTCCAATATTGGACCGAGAGGTGCAGCCGGGGAGAAAATAGTGACCGCCACCTTCCCTCGCATTGTTTCTTGGGAATTGCAGTTCCTTGGAGAAGTCCTCCATTTTGCTGTGGAAAGGCGCGGACTGTACAGAAATTCTTGTTTTACTGGTTTGTCTTCTTTTCTTTATAATTTATTTATTTTGCCGGGCGCGGTGGCTCAAGCCTGTAATCCCAGCGCTTTGGGAGGCCGAGGCGGGTGGATCACGAGGTCGAGAGATCGAGACCATCCTGGTCAACATGGTGAAACCCCGTCTCTACTAAAAGTGCAAAAAATTAGCTGGGCATGGTGGCACGTGCCTGTAATCCCAGCTACTTAGTAGGAGGCTGAGACAGGAGAATTGCCTGAGCCCAGGAGGCGGAGGTTGCGGTGAGCCGAGATCGCGCCATTGCACTCCAGCCTGGGTAACAAGAGCGAAAAACTCTGTCTCAAAAAAAAAAAAAAAAAAAAAAAATTATTTTTTTTTTTGAGACAGGATCTCACTGTGTCACCTAGGCTGGAGTGCAGTGGCGCGATATCGGCTCACTGCCACGTCCGCCTCCCGGGTTCAAGCGATTCTCCTGCCTCGGCCTCCCGAGCAGCTGGGTCTGCAGGCGAACGCCACTTGGCCGATTTTTGTGTTTTTAGCAGAGACGAGGTTTCGCCTGTGGCCCAGGCTGGTCTCCAATTCCTGAGCTCAAGCCATCCTCCCGCCTCGGCTTCCCAAAGTGCTGGGATTACAGGGATGAGCCACCGCGCCCAGCCGGTTTACGTTATTTTCTAAAATAAATTGCTGCGGGGTGATTCGGTTCCGGAATTATCGATGGTACCAAGAGTTCAGAACGTAGGAAGATATAAAGTGGGGAGTCGGGAAAGCTGCCATACTGCAAAAAATATTCTCACTGTTTAAGATAGAGCAATTCTTTTTCCTAAACTTCAAGAATAAAATAGCTGATTATGGTCTTTCCCTACAATGCCTGAAGCAAAATATCACTAGAGAATCCTGGCTACAATGCATGGCTATGTTAAGAAAATACGTCAGCGGCCGGGCACGGTGGCTCATGCCTGTAATCCCAGCACTTTGGGAGGCTGAGGTGGGGGAATCTCGAGCCCAGAAGTCGAGGCTGCAGTGACCTATGCAGTGATTTTCTAGGGGTGAAGAGTGAACCAATGGATATAGGGAGAAAATTAGCTAAATCTAGAAGTATAACATGTGGTGTTAAGATAAAGAACTTCCCAGTCTTACTGTATACTCGGGTGAGAAGCACTGGAAAACAACCAGATCCCGTAAGATTTGGCTACAGGAAACTTTTCAGTTAATGAACCCTTTCCTGACTGGGCGCGGTGGCTCACGCCTGTAATCCCGGCACTTTGGGAGGCTGAGGCGGGCGAATCATCTGAGGTCAGGACTTCGACACAAGCCTGGGCAACATGGTGAAACCCTATCTCTACTAAAAATACAAAATTAGCTGGGCGTGATGCCACATGGCTGTGATCCCAGCTACTTGGGAGACTGAGGCAGGAGAATCGCTTGAACCCGGGATGTGGAGGTTGTGGTAAGCCCAGATCATGCCATTGCACTTCCAGCCTGGGCAACAAGAGACTCCGTCTCAGAAAAAAAAAAAAGAAAAGAAAAAGAAAAAAAGAAAAGCAAAGAAAAAGAATACTTTCCCTATACATACTACTTTTTATAGTTTAACATACTGTAACATTTTGTATGTGATTGTTACAATCCCTCCTTTTTTGTGGTTTTCCTTTACTATATTTCTAGAATAGCATTCCGTTTTCAATTCCTGAAAAACTTTTAAAATTAGGGTTCTTCTAAGTAGTTCTAGTTTTATCACCACCCAACTATATATGATGACACTTTTTTTTTTTTTTTTTTTTTGAGATGGAGCCTCACTCTGTCACCCAGGCTGGATTACAATGGCAGGATCTGGGCTCACTGCAACCTCAGTCTCCCAGGTTCAAGCCACTCTCCTGCCTCAGCCTCCTGAGTAGCTGGGATTACAGGCACAACCCACCACACCCGGCCTATTTTTGTATTTTTGGTAGAGAGTACAGGCGCGGCTTTGCTATGTTGGTGAGGCTGGTCTCAAACTCCTGACCTTGTGATCTGCCCACTTCGGCCTTGTTAAGTCCTGGGATTACAGGCATGAGCCACTGTACCCTGCCTTATATAAGACAAATTTTTTGAAACAAAAAAAAATCCTAGCAGAATTATTTTCTATCAATTCCACAAGGATTCCAATTGATGATTGCCAACTAGTCTATAAGCTCTTTGAGGGAAATTTTGTTTTCGAGACAGAATCTCGCTCTTGTCATCCAGGCTGAGTGCAGTGGTGTGACCTCAGCTTACTGTAGTCTTCACCTCCAAGCAAATCAAGTGATTCTCCTGTCTCAACCTTCCGAGTTATTGGGACTACAGGTGTGCGCCACCACGCCCAGCTAATTTTTTGTATTTTTAGTAGAGACCGGTTTCACCATGTTGGCCAGTCTGGTCTTGAACTCCTGACCTCAGGTGATCTGCCTACCTTGGCCTCCCAAAGTGCTGGGATTACAGGTGTGAGCCACCGTGCCCGGCCTTTTTTTTCCAATAGACTTAAATTTTTATTTTCATTTTTATTTTTTTTTTGAGATTGGAGTTTCACTGTTGTTACCCAGGCTGGAGTGCAATGGCACGATCTCGGCTCACCGCAACCTCCGCCTCCCGGGTTCAGGCAATTCTCCTGCCTCAGCCTCCTAAGTAGCTGGGATTACAGGCACACACCACCATGCCCAGCTGATTTTTTGTATTTTTTTTTTTAGTAGAGACGGGAGTTTCACCATGTTGACCAGGATGGTCTGGATCTCTTGACCTCGTGATCCACCCGCCTCGGCCTCCCAAAGTGCTGGGATTACAGGCATGAGCCACCGCACCCGGCTCAATAGACTTAAATTTTTAGAACAGTTTTAGATTCACAGCAAAAGTGATGAAAGTATAGATTATTTCCCACACATTTAGCCTCCCCTTTATTTTTGAGACAGAGTCTTGCTCTGTTACCCAGGCCGGAGTGCAGTGATACGATTGCAGCTAACTAATTTGCCTCCCAGGTTCAAGCAATTCTCCTGCCTCTCAGCCTCTTGAGTAGCTGGGATTACAGGCCTATGCTACCATACCTGGCTAATTTTTTTGTATTTTTAGTAGA